AAAAAGACCTGGCATGGTGGTTCACACCTGTAATCCCCAGCACTTGTGGAGGCTAAGGCAGGTAGATCACTTGAGGTCAAGCGTTCGAGATCAGCCTGGCCAACATGGCGAAACCCCGACTCTACTAAAAATTCAAGAATTAACTGGGCCTGGTGGTGCACGCCTGTAGTCCCAGCTACTTGGGAGGTTGAGGCAGGAGAATCGCTTGAACTTGGGAGGCGGGGATCACGACAGTGAGCCGAGATCACGACACTGCTCTCCAGCCTGGGACAGAGGAGACTCTGTCTCCAAAAATATTTTTTTTTTAATTTAAAAAAAAAAAGTGGCATACTAGTTGTGAGCTCACAACTACGCGCAGGAGTCCCCTTCGCTTCGCCCATGCTGCAGGTGCTCCTAGAGTCGGCTCCTCCAGCACAGTCCGCAGGCGAGGGCTCCAGGGCGGCTCCTAGAGAGCCACGCCCACAGCGCGACGCCGGGCAGCGCCGCAGCCTCAGGGGCCGCGGGTTCCCGCAGCGCGGCGTCCCGGGTCCTGCCGCGGCAGGGAGTGCCGAGGGCTACAGGAAGCGCGCTGGTCTCTGGTGAGGAGAGGCTGGGGGCTTCGGGGCCTGGAGAGCCGAGGGGCTAGGCTGGGGAACCGGGCATCCAAGGACGGGGGAAGTAGGAGGGGGACAGGAAGCCCGGGTGCCTGGGTACCTAGTTTCGGAGTGGAGACCGGAGGTGGGGGAGCCCGGAGGTCGGGGTTGGAGAGGCGGGGAGCCCCGAGGGCGGGGAGGAAGTGGTCTCGGGAGCCCCGAGGGCGGAGAGGTAGCGGAAGTTGAGGAGCCCCGAGGGCGGGGAGGAAGTGGTCTCGGGAGCCCCGAGGGCGGGAGGTAGCGGAAGTTGAGGAGCCCCGAGGGCGGGTGGAAGTGGTCTCGGGAGCCCCGAGGGCGGGAGGTAGCGGAAGTTGAGGAGCCCCGAGGGCGGGGAGTCAGGCTGCTGGAGAGGTGGGCGGGCACAGGCCCCTGTCCAGTTCTTGGACTCCGAGGGCGCCTTCCGGATTTTTTATGTTTGCGTTTTCCGCGCTTTACGGAAGTGGTGCGTGTTGTTGTGGGGGAAGAAAAAAAAATTAGGTGAAATTAAAAAATGAAGTGAAACAAAAGGAAATAAACATCATCTGTGACATATTGACTTTAGAAAAAAGAAATCATAATACCTTCCAGCCTGCTTTTCCCTTTTTTTAATTAGATTCATGTGAAATTATAACCCCCAAAGGCTCCCCTGCTGCAGCTCTGAGAACATGCGCGCGCACCTGGAACCCCAGGTGTGAAGGCGCCTTTGGCTTCCCTGGCTTTCTCGTGCCCCTGAGTATGACCATTCTGCCAGTGCTGTGTCTGTCGTAATTGGAAGTCCTTGATCTGTTTTTATTAGATTTTACAACACGGAAGATAAAGATTTTTTTTTTTTTAATGCCTAGTTTGTGACGACCATTTTACCACTTGGTAATAAAAACCCTCTATAAAGTTAAAGAAACACGTGGTAGTAGCAAAAAAGAAACATATAAAGTTAAACCTTGTGCAATACAGTAATACATACAGTGAAAATTAGTTTCTGCTTCCCTTGTCAGCCTTACTGTAAAAAGCTGGCTTCTGATGGCTGAATAGGATTCCTCTGTGTGGATATCACAATGGACGTCTCCAACTTTTATTGTTAGATTTTCCGTACCACAAATAACAATGTAGCTGGGCCCAATGCCTCATACCTGTAATCCCAGCACTTTCGGTGGCTGAGGCAGATGCATCACGAGGTCAGGAGATCGAGACCATCCTGGCCAATATGGTGAAACCCTGTCTCTACTAAAAATACAAAAATTAGCAGGGTGTGGTGGTACGCGCCTGTAATCCCAGCTACTGGGAAGGCTGAGGCAGGAGAATCACTTGAACACGGGAGGCAGAGAATGCAGTGAGCCGAGATCACGCCACTGTACTCCAGCCTGGTGACAGAGCAAGACTCCATCTCAAAAACAAATAGATAACAAATAACAATGTGATGTCACAGTGAAATCTTTGCACAGGCCTATGTATTACATTCCTGGAATAAAATGGTTGCAGGGTGCAAAGGCAGCCTCACACATGGCTCCAGGAAGCTCTTTTCCTTGAAGCCACTTGGGGTGAGGCCCTTAGTTCCCACACTCCTAACACCTGTTTGCGAATCTGAGACCCAGAGAAGGGATGGTGGTTAAGCCAGTGTGGGGTCCAGTTTGTTGATAGTCAACTGTTGGGTCTGGATGAAAAATCCCATAGCACTGCCTTTCCCAACTTCCCTTGGATCATCTGTTCCCATGACCCAAGTGACACCTGAAGTGGCTAAAGAGACCTCTGTAGCAATCAGGACAGCTATAGGGCCTGGAGAGTGGCCATACTCCAGGTGACATGGAAGACAGGTGGAACAAGAAAGCCCAGGAGGCCAGAGGGAGTGTGTTCACACCTGGGGTTCCAGGTGTGGGACATTCTAGGTTGTGGCCATGTGTTCTCAGAGCAGGAGGGGGGGACCCTGGAGGGTGGCAGAAGAGATTGTCCATGCCTGTGATGATGGCCGTTTTGAGACCCTGGTCTTTGGGTAAGAGGGTTGAGACTTTGGGGATGACTCAGGTGAAATCAAACTAGATGTTTTTATCTGTTTGTTTTTCAATCTGTTACCTCTTTTCAAGGTTTTTCTGTGTCAGTTTCCTTCAAAAAGCTATATCAATGTTTATGTTGCCACACCAGGTTCTCTGCCCTCCCCTCAGAGAATCCATTTCAGGGGAATGCTGTACCAGAGCATGGCAAAGCAGGGAGCAGACTGGCCCCACTTGACCACATGGCCAGAGCTTCCATGGCCTTCCTCACCTCCTCACTGCCTTCGGCACCTGCTCCAAAGGGGTCACCGTCCAGAGTAGGGCTGCCCAGGAGCACTGCAATGGGGCTACTGCCATTGCATGTCCTGTAGCAGCCAAAAGACAAGTCAAACAACGCAGGGTAAATGTTAGTTTTAATAAGAGGTCGGATTTAACTCATTGTACCTGAAGTAATATTCCAACATGTAATCAGTATGAAAAATGATTGAGATATTTCACATTCTTTTTTGTACCAAGTCTTCAAAATTGTATTTTATACTTAAAGCTCACCTCAACTCAAGTAGAAATGCTTGATCTATCTTTAGATTTTAAAAATTTATAATTGAAAAAGTTGACTCATACCCAAATTGTTACAGAGATGCTTAAAATTTTTCCGGTAATGGAATTAGCAGTTTTTTTATTTAATTCAAATGAAATACAATTAATAGTCACTTCTTTAGTTCCACTGGCGCCTTTCAGGTGCTGGAGAGACACATGAGCTGGTGACAGTGCTACTGAGCTGGCAGCTTGAGAGGGATCCAGCCAGGGAAATGGAATTAGTCCTGCACGGGCCACTGCCCAGCCACCTGCATTCTCACCAGGCACGAAGCCACTGCTGACACTCAAACAGAGGAAAGCTGAGCAGAGGCAACTTAGAATGAAGAGTCCCCAGGAGGACATGCATTGACCATGACCTGAGGAGGGATATCAGCTCAAGAAAGGAAAAGAAGGGACATTTCAAAGAGGAAAGTGATCAGCCATGGAGCTGGGGGAAGAAAAGACAACCCTGGACAGTTGGCAGTATCTTCCCAGGTCTCCCAAGGGAAGGGACTCGTTGCTCACAGTCGTGCAGATGCCTGAGTCAGAATGTGCTTACCCAAGGCCATTAAACCTTGACTCAGTGCTCTAGCTCCCCAAGCACTGTTGCGATTGTCATGGATTCCGTGGGGCTCGGTCTGAGGGGAAGGCGGTGCCAGCTGTTCTGACGGGATTCTGTCCTGTGCCAGTCATTCTCACGGGACACTGACGTGTTGCTGTACAGGTTTATCACACGCCTCTCCCTTAAACTTGGCTGGCGTGAGTCTGTTAGGGTTCGGATCTGTGTCTCCACCCAGATCTCGGATTGGAATCCCCACGTGTCGGAGGAGGGGCCTGGTGGGAGGTGGCTGGGTCATGAGGGCAGATTTCTCTCTTGCTGTTCTCGTGACAGTGAGTGAGTTTTCACAAGACTCAACCGTTTGAAAGTGTGTAGCACCTCCCCCTCTCTCCTGCTCTCTCGAGAGCTCTGCTCTCCTGCCGCCCTGAGAAGAAGGTGTTCAATTCCCCTTTGGCCATGATTGTAAGTTTCCTGAGGCCTCCCTGGCCGTGCCTCCTGTATGGCCTGTGGAACTGTGAGTCAGTTAAACTTCTTTTCTTCATAAATTACCCAGTCACCGGTAGTTCTTTCTAGCAGTGTAGGAACAAACTAATACGTAGTCCTTCCTTGCAAGGGAAGTTTTCCGTGCATTTCTGGGCCTGTGATGTTAAGGCCTAAGCCTGGATGCTGTGCCAATACTACAGTACCACTGGGGTCTTCCCACCTCGTGAGGCCTCCTAGGAGACAGCCTGTTGACTGTCTAGTAGCGCTCAACCTCACTGGCCTTTGCTCACGATGCTTACAAGGACTTCTAGCAACCACTGTGCCTAACATTATACAGCATGTCACAGCCCACAGAAGTTTTCCCATGATCTCTTTTGAGCCTCACCATAAAATGTAATCAAGGCAGGGGCAGAATGATAGTCCTCACTCTGATGTCTGATGGACCTTGTTTCAGATCCTGGCTCCCAGGTCCTTTGCCAAAGCTCTCAAGTCGGTTTCCTTGTCTGCAGAAGGTAGATAACGCTCATAGCGCTGCTGGAAACAGCAAATAAAGAAATGCCCCTCTTCCCTTAGCACCCCTGAGCTGGCAGGAGCAGTGGCCGCACCACGACTCCCACTACCGCAGGGCGGTCCCAGTGAGCTCCACGTTGGCCCAGCCTAATAAGGTCTGGCCCTGCAGCTTTTCATGCTTCCGAGGAGCATAGTTTATACACACAGGCAAGCAGAGGGCAGCGTGAGGCCAGGTAGACTCAGACTCTTCAGGCCGGAAGAGACACTGTAAGAGGAGAGGTGGGTGTCTGGAAGACAGACGGACCTTGTTGGGATGTTTGGATGCATGAGTCTAAGAGCTTGAGTGGAGCAATGTGAGTACCTGTGAGCAAGATGGGGAGCAATGGGGTCCATTGACTGGAACCCAGATGTCCCCTGGGCAGGTGAAACACGGCTTAGTGCAACAATCAGCCATGCAGGACAGACGAAACCCTACTGAAATACACATCTCATTAAAAATTAAGTCAAGCCAGGCATGGTGGCTCACACCTGTAATCCTAACACTTTGAGAGGCTAAGGCAGGAGGACCAGTTGAGGCCAGGAGTTTGAAGCCAAACTGGGCAACTCAGTGAGACCCTGTCTCTATAAAAAATAAAAATAAAAAATTGTCAGGTTTCATTTGGGAGGCCAGGAATTTGAGAACGGCCTGGGTAACATAGTGAGACCCTATCCCTACAAAAAAAAAAGTTTTAGAAATTAGCTGGGCATGGTCATGTGCACCTGTAGTCCCCATCGTTTGGGAGGCTGAGTTAAGGGATTGCTTGAACCCAGGAGGTTGAGGCTGCAGTGCACCATGATCAGGCCACTGCACTGCAGCCTGGGTGACAGAATAAGACTCAAGTCATTATTCAAACTTGAAATCCCAAAAGTGTGTGTAGGAAGGAGATTCTGTAAATAACTGGTTGTTGAGTGAAGAACTAGTGTGCTCAGCCAGCCCTTCTTAGCAGTGATAAATGTCCCTTTTACTGAAATGGATTTATGGGGGCTTTCTAGAAGTATATCTATTTTGTCTGTTTTTATTCCTTCCTTTTAATCCAAGTTGCTTTTCTTGTTATTTTTGTAGCTTCTTAGATGCATGTCTCACTTCTCAGTGGCTTCTTTTCTATTGTGTATAGTTAAGGCTGCAAATTTCCCTCTTGTTCCTGCTTTAACCATAATCCACAAGTTTGTTGTTTTGTTCTGTCTGTTTTTTTTTGAGATGAGACAGAGTCTCACTTTATCATCCAGACTGGAGTACAGTGATGCAATCTCGGCTCACTGCAACTTCTGTCACCCGGGTTCAAGTGATTCTCCTGCCTCAGCCTCTGGAGCAGCTGGGACTAGAAGCACGCACCACCACACGTGGCTAATTTTTTATTTTCAGTAGAGACGGGGTTTCACCCTGTTGGCCAGGCTGATCTCCAGCTCCTGACCTCAAGTGATCCACCCACCTCGGCCTCCCAAAGTGCTGGGATTAAAGGTGTGAGCCACTGCGCTGGCCCATAATCCACAAGTTTAATATGTGGTAATTTCATTATTTTTCAGTTCAAATATTTTATCATTTCCATTTTTATTTCTTCTTTTTCTCATGGTTCATTAGAAGCGATTTCTTTAGCTGTTAAAAGGGAGAAAGAGCTCCATAACTGAGGTGAGGGTATTCCTAAGACATACTTTAAGTGAAAAAGGCAAAACACAAACAAGTATCCATAAAATGTTATCCTTCCAGTAGGAAAGAAGGGGACGTAAGAACATAGGCAAGTAGGCAGGGAGCGGTGGCTCACGCCTATAATCCTAGCGCTTTGGGAGGCCAAGGCAGGTGGATCACCTGAGGTCAGGAGTTCCAGACCAGCCTGGCCAACATCTCTACTAAAAATACGAAAATTGGCCAGGCGTCATGGTGCACATCTGTAATCCTAGCTACTCTGGAGGCCGAGGCAGGAGAATCACTAGAACCCAGGAGGTGGAGGTTGCAATAAGCCAAGATCGCAACACTGCTCTCCAGCCTGGGCAACAAAGCAAGACTCCGTCTCAAAAAAAATAAATAAATGCTGTAATGTGGTCAGTAAACATGTTTCCCCCGAGGGTATGGCAAGCAATTCTGAAACTACTTTAGTAGTTTCAGGCGTGGACTAGAACTGAACAAATTAGTAGGAATATCATAATAATGGTAACTGGCTTTCTCATTGTTGAAAAAAGAAGTTACAACTGAGGAAAGGCTAAAGTGAGCCCCGTTGTGCTGGTTTGGAATCAGAGGTGTCCGTATAAACTCAGGACTGTAATAGGCATACAAACAGATAGACACAGAAATACACGTGTGTGCACACTTGGGTTGGCAGACATGCATGTATTTCCTAGCCTGTCTGCTGATGAAGGAGCCTCGACAAGAGACATCCCAGGAGCGTGGACAGCTCTGCTCGGATCTTGTCCTCTTACCATTCCCCAGTTAAAGGCACCAGTATCCTTGGAAAAATGGCTCGTTCCCAGGTTGAGGCAGGGAGGCTATGCGTTTGGAGCATCTTCTCATGCCAGAAAGTGAGAAAGTGCTCAGAGAAAAGCAGCTGTCAAAAGAACACGGGGACCAATCTCAAGGGGCTCCCAATGGCCAAAGCTGGAACAAATTGCTAAATAATCTAATAAACGATGGGGGAAAGGTCAGCCCTTCCTTACAGAATAATTCCAGTTAATAAATGTAGAAGAAAGAGGGCGAAGAAAACTACCGTCAGGCAAACACCACAGTAATAAGTGATACAGACAAGGTCCCCCAGCAAAGGTTAAAATTAGCGGGCACAAGTTTGAAAAGAACAAGTTATTAGCATAATCTTAAATACATCCCCCAAGATATTTATTAACTATGAAGGGAAAGATTCACAGAGTCACTTTCCAGTGTCAAAACTTCCAGGCGAAGGCCACCAGGACATGCGTGCAAGTTGAACAAGTTGGGTTTATTTCTTGCTGCAGTAACAAGGGAGAAAACAGGCTTTGGAAAACCATAAGGTGACTCAGGGAGAGGGTACTATAAAGGCCTCATGAGATTGGGTCTTGGTTTAGGGGAGGATTTAAGAAAAGACAGGGTTTTTTCTGGGTGGGAGGCTGTCAGGCAGCGGGAGTGATTCTGTGATGAAATAGCTTCAGCTAAAGCTGTGATTGGTAAAGAAGTAACAATTGCTCACATGAGCCAGGAGAGGGAGCTGTTGGGCCATTTTTGTGGTTGGTTGACGTTTTTCTGAATCAGACTTGATTTTGGAGCAGGCTTCTCTGACGTCAATGTTTTGTGTGTTCAGCTGGAGAACCCTAAGGCATGGCCCTTGGATGTTAGGGCTGCTTGTGTCTTTCTGAGCAGTGGAGACAGTCAGCAAAAATTGGTCAACATTAGTATAAGAAGACATGTTGCCAAAAGAAAACTGGCAGAATTCAGGTGAAATGCTGTCCTCTTACATCTTACTGGGCCTTGGCATCTAGCCCTCCGGTCCAAGGACAGGACCAGAAACAAAGCTCATCTCCAGGCTAATTCCCTGGAACTTGAAATGCCTCCAGAGCAAAAGCAGCTTGGAACAAGAACCCAACTGGGCTCTTGTCTTCCAGATCTTGCTGGCTTTCTGATGCTTTCGGTAAGACTTTTGGGGGCTGTTTGTTCAGCTTCCTGAGTCATCCTCAGGGAGAAGGTTGATCTAGATTGCCTCACTACCAAAGGCCTTTCTTCTGATTCCTCAGGAGAAGCCAGGGAGAGACTGAATATCAAATGTGTCGATGGCCAGACCATACATAAGAGTAGAACTTGACCCAGTCTGTAGCAACCAGCTGGGACACCAGCCTGCTAGCTATGAGCCAAATGCATAGGAAGTCAGACCACTCTCTCAGGCAACAATCCCGGGAGGCCTAACAAAAACTCCCGCCAAATGACCAGGACTTGATTAATAACTGGCAACTTCTCTAATTTTTGTCCCTGCTACCAACTTAGGACCAACCAGAAAAAAACAAATATGCTCTCCTAACCAATCACAAAGGCAGCCCCCTTTCTAGTGAGCTT